ACTCGAAAAAGCAAGCCTGGCAGCTGCTTACACCTGCTGAGCTATCTCGCTGGCCAAATGTGCAAAGCCTATCGACCCCAGACAACTCAGTTCTTGCAATGCCAACAAAACTCTCTCATCAGAATTATGCCCTGGAAAGTGGCTCAGCATCTAGGAGGGTCAGAGTTCTTTGTTCCAAATTTAAGTCGTGGTATCTGAGATGGTTCACAGCAAGAACCATAACACACGCAATGAGAACTTACTTTGTGTCGGACCCTGGCTATTAAGGGACCTCGGGACAGTGTCTCAGTTGACACCAACTTGTGCGCACGGATATTGTAAGTTGTATGCCTTGTTGCTGTGACAACTCTGCTACGTGCTTTTCCCCACGGGGAAGCACATTTCAGAATGGGGGCTTGTCACAGCCCTGCTGTGGGGCTGAATGACTGTCTGGGGTCTGACTGCAGTGACTGGAAGAAAATGACGCCTCTCAGCCTTTACTAACGATTACAATCCTTGGCTGCCGAGAGGGCTCGACGGGTGCTCGCTGCCAAGCACGAGGGCCTGAGTTGGATCCATTAGTCTCACATGGTAAAAGAAGAGAACTCCCAAATGTTGCCCTCTGATTTGCACACAGGTACCACCACACACACACACATTCACACACACACACACACACACACACACAAACAAAAGTATAATCCTTTAAAATGTATATAAGTACAAAATGACAAAATGCATGTGTGCTTCTACCAGCTTAGCCTTCTAAGTACTTGGGACGATAGACATATGCTGGTATACTTAAATTATATGTTCAGAAAATGTCCTAAAACATGTACACAAAAGTGAGCAAAGAACTGGCCTTAGAATTAGGGAATTTAGGAGTCAGGGATATGGATCAGCTGCTAGAGCGTTTGCCTAGCACCCATGAGGCCTTCTGTTCAGTCCCCCTGCACCAGGATTAAACCGGGTATGGCTTTACATGCCTGAATCCCAGCACTCGGGAGGTAAGGGCAGGAAGATCAGGAGTTCAAGGTCATCCTTGGCTATAAAACAAGTTTAAGGATAGCTTAGGCTACAGTATATATATCATATATATCTATAATATTATAAATGTTATTATACATAAAATTATATATATTACCTCAAGATGTTTTCTAAAAGTAAATATAAAATTTTAAACACATAAAATAAGATAAACAGTAAAATATCAACACAGGAAAAAACAACTCAGAGGGAAATATATACCAAAATGTTCTTATGTTCATGGTGCATACTTGATGGGCTCCTTCCTTCCTTTCCTTCTCTTCCTTTCTTTCTTTTCTTTCTCTTTCTCTCTCTTCTTTTTTCTTTCTTGCTGTTTTTCAAATTTGCTGTATATGTATTAGACTTGTTTTTAGTGATCTTGACTGCGGATATAGTCTGGTAAAGTTAAGCCTTAAAGATAAGACCTTTGGGGGGCTTGAGAAATGGCTCAGAGATTAAAAGCACTGGCTGCTCTTCCAGAGGTCCTGAGTTCAATTCCCAACACCTACATGATGACTCAAAACCATCTACACTGAGGTCTGGCGCCCTCTTCTGGCCTGCGGGTGTGCATGCAGGCAAAACACTGTACATGTAATAAACAAATCTTTTAAAAAATATGTAGAAAAATATTTTTTAAAAAGGCCTTTTGTCCCAATCCCAGCTTCCACCTGTGTGTCCTTTTGTGCACATGTATGTTGTATATATGTTTTGTTGCTGTGACTAAATTCCCAACAGAAGCAACTTAAGGGAGGAAGGGTTTTGGGGGTCACACTTCCAAAGGTACAGTCCATCTTGCTGGGGAAGTCAGGGAGCATGAGGCAGCTGGTCACGTGGCATCCACAATCAGGAGCAGAGAGGGTGCTGTGCCCGGCTCACCTTGTCCTTTCACTCAGCCCAGGACTCAGCCCATGGGATGGGGCTGCCTGCAGCTAGTGGGCACCTTCTCATCATAATTAACCAAACCTAGAGACTCAGACATGCCCAGAGGTGTGTCTCCTAGGTGACTCTAGATCCAACTATGAACCATCACAGAAATCACTGTGTGTATGTGCCTCCAACTTGTGGGACTTGGTCCTCCGCCTCCACCCTGTGGTCCCTGGGACAGGTCAGCAGGCCTGGCAGGAAGCGCCGGTACCCATCAAACCTCATCTCACTGGCGCAATGTGCTTTTTCAAACTTGTGCCCGTTCGTCTGAGACCCTCCATAATCCCATTCATCATGACGTCTCAGACTCCATGTCACTAAAAGACACGATGTCCTCACTGTTTAACTAGGACTCTAGAGCTGGAGACACGAAGGCCACAGGGCCTTTTTATTATCATTTAGGCTGGTTACAGCTTCCAATTTTAACACCACAGTGAATTCCTTTCTTAGCGATTTCTTGGGAAAAGACGCTAAGAATTGGGACTTCTGGGTCCCTACAATCTGCAGCTATTTTTGCAGACACTCCTCCAAATTGCTCATTTAATGACTGTGCAAGATTTACACTCCCATCAGTCGCACAGACACACATCAGTGTCGGTGTGCTGCCAAACCCTTTCTTTTGTTGTCAGTCTGTTAACGGAAAGCAGAATGCTGTTATTTTAACTGAAATTTCCATGAAAAACAGGATGTTTTTCATATCTTCCTATTTGTCATACATACCTGTTTCTTTTATTCTGTGTGTGTGTGTGTGTGTGTGTGTGTGTGTGTGTGTGCGTGTGAAGACCACTAGCAGCAGTCAGTTCTCTTCTTCCACCTTGTTGGTCCTGTGGATCAAACTCCGGTCCTCAGGCTCAGCAGCCAGTCCTTTGATGCCGAGCATCCTGTCTGCCCCTGCAGTCCTTTTATACAGATCTTTGTAAACTTTCATTGTATGGTTGTCTTTCTACTCATTTGTAAGAGTCCTTTAAATATTCTAGAACTAATCCTTCGTTTTGTATGTGCAAGTAGACTCTTCCAGTCCTTGTGTTTTGACCTTCATGTGATTTTCTTTTAAAGATTCATTTTTTAATTATATGTGTGTGGGTTTGTGCACACGTGTAGCGCTCACACAGGCTAGATGAGGGTGTGAGGTCCCCTGGAGCTGGGGTTACACGTGGTTGTGAACCCCTAGAGGTGGGTGCTGAAACTGAACTCAGGTCTTCTGTAAGATCAGTGTGCACTCTTAGCTGCTGAGCCATCTCTCCAGCCACTGTGTTTTGTTTTTAAACCTAGTTTTCCATATTTGTGTGTCAGGTTTGATGACTGTCAGAAGCCACATTTTAAGGTCTTCTCTGTCCCAGGGTCATGAATATTATCCAGACTTCCTTCTAAAAAGCTCATTATGTTCCATGTTTATGTCACTCTCTGAAATCACAGTCCCTGTCCTCTGCCTCTGGAACCTGCATTTTCTACTAAAGCCCAAGCTTTCCGTGTTACTTTGCATACAGGCTTGCTAGTGCCTCTCGAAAACAAACAAAACCCACAAAACAACCAAACAACAACAACGAAGACAAGACACTTTCAGTGAATAAAGTTCTTGCTGTCCAAACCTCAGGATCTGAGTTCAGCCCTTGAACTCTCGTGAAACAAGGGGGAACTGACAGCTGACTGCACAAAGCTGTCTGCTGACCTCATTATACACACTGTGGCACCACAGGCCCAGCAGCAGGAACAATAACTCATTCCCCTGGCGAAAAAGCCTCTTTGGTTCTTGAAGGCATAGCTCAACCAGGACTTAGAAAAATAAAAACAAAAATCACACATCGCAGAACTGACCGCTCTCTTGTCCACGTCCTGTAGCCGTTTGTCCTGGCATTCTAGAAACAGCTCGTCTATCTTTCCCACTTACTGAGGCAAAAGCTGTCCGAGGCCATCTGTGTACTCAGCATTTCGTTTAATGAACGAATGAATAAAACAAACAATCTCTGTTTTAAAAAAGGACTCTATTAAACCTTTCAACAAAGCAGAGTGCTTCTGACCATGCTAATCAGACTCTTCCAGCTGATTCTCTTAAAGAGAAAAACACTGGGCTATCTCACGACTTCATGGCCACAATGAAACCAGTTTGCCCTGTTGGCAAAGTAAGAGGCCAGCGGTAGAAGGCCAGAGCCAGCTAGCCGTTCTAGATAGACACATGCCAGCTGAGCAAGCTTGACCCCTTCAAACAGCTGGTGCTCAGACACCCCCAGGTACACTGCCTTGGAAGAATGTGTCTCCTAAGACAGAGGCCGCATCTCCGCAACTGTCTCCTGGAAGCACATATGCCCTGCTACTTCTTCTTTCTCCTAACAAATGAACTTGGTTCTATCACACTTTGCTATGAAAAAAGTCAGGAGATGGTCCAGCAAAAAAAAAAAAAAAAAAAAAAAAAAGCTAGCATCATTGTTTGTGTGGTCTGGCGCTAAAAAGGAAGCAAAGCAACCGTCTTGTAGCAGCTCTCCTTAAAATAAGCACTAGCCAATGCCTTGGGGAGGCACATCTCACACCGGGAATGGGGTGGCCTGGACTGCCCCTAAGAGCCTCATGCAATCTCTGGCAGTCAACGACAGTAGCACTTTCTCTGAAGAGCATCTAAACAAACATAAATGAAATTCAACGAAAGTGTGATCTCGGCTGCATCTTTTTAAAAATTACTTTTTATTTTCAGTTTTAATTTGTGTGTGTGTTAAATGTGCGACGGGGCAGGGGGATGCACCCCCAGCATGTGTGTAAGTCAGAAGAGAATGCTGGGTATCCTGCTCTCACTCTCTGCGTCAGGCCTTGGAGAAGGGTCTCTTCTGACCCTGGAGCGAGGTTGGCAGCCAGCTTGTCACAGTGACATTCTCATCTCTGCCCTCTATGCCTTTGAGGTCACAGGAGCATATCTGTCTATGTCCTGCTTTTCAACAGGTGGTAGGGATTTGAACTTAGTTCCTCATGCTGGTGCAGCAACTGTTCTTAACAATCTCCCCAGCTCTGCTTGTATCTTTATAAAGAACCCAACACATTAACCCACCAAACAGTCCGTAATTTTAGAAAACAAGTGGTATTTATTTATTTTTGAGACAGGGTCTCATGAAGCCAAGGCTGGTCCTGAATGTCCTATACAGGCAAGGATGACCTTGAACTCCTGTTTCTTCTGCTTTTACTTCTAAAGTGCTGAGGTTACAGGCATGTGCTAGCACACAGGGTTCACTCACTGCTGGAGAGGGAACTCAGGGCGTCATGTGTGCTAAGCAAAAAGGCACTCTACCCACTGAGCTATGCTCCCTAATCCTAAGAAGTAATGCTTTCTAAACTAATGCTTACTTTTTTAAATCAAATATTTTGCTCACTTTATAACAAGAAAGAAAAGAAGGAAGCAAGGGAGGGAGAAAAAGGAAGGTCTGGGAGAAAAGGAGGAAGGAAGAAAAAGAAGGAAAAGAGAATGGCAGAGAGAGAGAGAGAGAGAGAGAGAGAGAGAGAGTCCTCTATAGAGAGGAATCAAGCCAAGGATTTTTTAAAAAAGATTTATTTGACAATTTAAAAAAAGTTACTTGTGTGATAAAGGTATGCAAAGGTACGCCGGACACTTTCACCAGGATGAGATGGGATTAGCTTTGTATCTCTTATAATCTTCTTCACAGAAGAATGCAATTTCAGTTTCACTGGCTGAAAATAAGGAAAACAGAAAAGGAGAGAAAAAAGATTTTAATGTGAAACTAGATTTTAAGCAAATATGGAAATCCGTATTACATTGTTTTGTTATCATAGGCACTTAAAATGAAAAGACAAATTGTTGTTGGATTGCATAATAACTTTTTGCCAAACCAACCAGAAGTTTCAGTGTTGTTATGGGAGATTAAAACTCAAATAATTTAAAAATAAAAGAAAGAATAACTCAGCTTGGTGAGATGGTAAAGGAGCTTGCAGCCAAGCCTGACAGCCTGAGTTCAATCCCAGAGCTGTCTGCCTGCCTGTCTGTCTGTCTCTCTGTGTGTGTATGTCTGTCTGTCTCTCCTTTTCTCTCTCTCTCTCTCACACACACATGCACACAAACAAATGTAATTTAAACATTTAAAAACAATAACTCCTAAAATCAAAATCAAGAGTTAACACAAGAGTGAAGATTTTTCAAGAAATACTAACATTGCTCATTTATATCACTGGAAAATTAAAACAAAACAAAACAAAACAAAAAAACCTCTTGATCTCTTTCAAGTAGGCTAGTCAGTTCCAGATAGGAAGGGACTTCCTCCGCCTCTCGAAATTAGCCTGTAGGTATAATAATTTAATACTTAGAGGATCAGTAGAATATTTTACAGATCACTTTACATTCTCCCTCATGACCCATCAAAATATGTGTCTGAAGAAGTTAATTTTTGGCCCTGCTTATGATTAATTCATGAGGCTTCAGCAATATGCAAAGTGAAAGACACAAATTGGCTTCTATGCAATACCTTCAAATGCCTCTAATTATTCACAGGGGAAATGGCTCAGCTAAAGGACCCACAGAGGTTCAGGGCGGCCACGATGCTTTCAACCTAGTGGGTCAAGGACTCCGTCTTCTAAAACAATAAGTCAGCAGCATTATTAATTCAGATCTGATGGCGAGCCTTCCCATTATTAAACATGCAGTTCTTCAAGGCGTTGGCGCCCACAAGTTCCACACTGGGTTTTTTTTTTTTTCCAAATTAAACCAGGAGTTAATACAGTCTGCTCAGCTTTCACAGAAGGCAAAAGGGCCCTTCCAAAGCTCAACAAGAAAACAGACATGATTATTCGTAATGAATACTGAGTACTCAATTAACATAGGCGCTCCAAAGAGACAAGTAAAACTCTTCAACCCAAATAAATAGGATGAGGAGTGCAGAGGATTACCACTGGTCTGTGGCGGACAGCTCTAATCTCATCATTAGATTCTATCACAAAAGAATGAAATTCAAGAGATTAGCATGACATTTCATTAAGAATATTTTCGTTGTTTGCAAGAATATCATATGTTGTATCTCTCTCTACCATAAGTTATCCTGTGCCCTAGAGAAAACAAATACTGAGAGAAGAAAAACAATATGGCCATACCCACAGATCCTTGGCTGGGACGTACTATGGCCTCTGGATTAAATTTAATCCAGGTGGTTGTTGATGTGATTGGGAGCTCTGATCACATTGAGCTGGGTGGGGGATAACGCAGGGAGAAACTGAGACTCCCTAGGCAAACAGTGAGTCAGTGGGTAGTTCAGCAGCTTGGCAAGTTCACATTTTAAAGAATGGCCAAGAGGCTCTACACAGACTATCGTCTACTTCGAAAAGGGGGCCTATAGGGAATGTGGAGATGGCTCAGTGAGTAAGAACACTTGTTCTGCAAGCGTGAGGACCTGAGTTTGAATCCCTAGTACCCATGTAAGAGCTGAGCATGGCTGTGTGAGACTGGTACCCATCACTGGGGGGGGGGGGGGGGCGTGGAGACAGGAGGATCCTGAGAGCAAACTGACCAGGCAGCCTAGCTGAAACAGTTAACACTGAAGCATTGAGCTCTGGTTTTTAAAAAATCTATTGGAAACATTTGAGAGAATGAGTTTATGTAAATTATTTAACACTTTGAACAAATCACAAATGATTTTCTTTTACAGACAAAGTTCCCTGTAGTCCAAGTTTTTCCTATGTAGCTAAGGATGTCTCTAAACTTATCTTGCCAAATGCTGGGTGCTAGGTGTGCACCCCCCCTTTGCCTGCTCTATGCAGTGCCCAGGGTAAAGCCAAAGGCTCCATGGTGATCAGCAAGCACTCTACCAAGGGAGCATGCCCACAGATGATTTTTATGACTACTGTATCATCACTCTCTCCACCATTATCCTTTCAACTCTTATTCCCCAAATTCTGTTTACAATAGTTCTGTAAGCACAGCAGAGAACAGCCCATAGGGAGAGGGGACCTGGCTTTAAAGTAAATGTGCTTTGAGCACATTATGGTCAGGCACAGAGGTCTCGAGGTGGGAATATGAAGATTGTGAGATCCAAAACCAGCGTCTTCATGTCATTATCAAATGAAACATAGGAGAGCCCCTCAAATACACTGTGGAGCCTCTTATTACTGGCATGTCAGTGTAACATGAGCCAGGACACCCAGACTTAGCATATAAAATTAAGAATTTTGTAACACTTCTAAACAGATATTTCTCTCTCTCTCTCTCTCTCTCTCTCTCTCTCTCTCTCTCTCTCACACACACACACACACACACACACACACGTATGCATGTGCATTCACAAGCCTCTATAATGGGAGATTGATGATTACTTGAACTAAGAGAAACCAGAATAATCTATTCTAACTCTGAGATCTCAAGACAATTTAAGTACAACTTAATTAATCCTCTGACCCACCGAAACCAACTTACCAGCTATCCACAGACACACTATAGACTCTCTAACTCTATTCTTGACCTTAGGCTGTGGCTTACATAGCCTGAGAACAACTGGCATGCGTGTACTGGCTTTGTGGAGCAATCAGGATAACTTGTCAAGTAATGATAACAGCTATTAAAAAAAAAAAAAAAAAAAAAAGCAGTTCTCAGAGCAAACTGAGGCCCAAAGACAAAGTTTCACCTTCTCTTAACTCCAGGAAAGCATCCCATCCGTCCCTTTGCATGTATGTGAAGGTAAGTGTAGGTACATGTATGTGTGTATGCACGTATAGAGGCCAGAAGTCAACCGTCTGCTTCATTTCTCAGACACCATACATGTGGTTTTGCTTTTGATATTTATTTCTTTTTTATTTTATGCGGATGGGCTTTTGCCTACACACACACCTGTGCATCACATGCATACAGTGCCTGCGTAGGCCATAAGAGGGTGTCAGATCCCTTGAAACAGTCAGAGACAGTTGTGAGCCACCCTGTGAGTGTTGGGGATTGAACCTGGGGCCTCTGGCAGAGTAGTGTTCTTAATTGTTGAGCCATCTCTACAGTTCCCACTTGGTTGTTTTTGAGGCAGGGTCTCTCATTGGTGTACAACTCACCAAGTAGGCCAGGCTGGCTAGCCAGCAAGCCCTAGGGACCTGCCTATCTCTTCCTTCCCTGCCTATCTCTTCCTTCCCAGTGCTGGGATTGTAAGTGTCCATCATCACCACTAGCTCTTTTACAAAGATTGGGGGGGGGGGGAATCAAACTTAGATCTATAAACCCAGCAGAGTAGAACTTACAGGTTCTAAATATGTATCACTTCTAAATATTTATCAATGAAGGCTGAACTGCAGCAAAGAGGTCTAGACTTCAGGGCTCTCCCTGTCACACTTGCTTTGAATGTCTGTATTGGGCTGATTAAATAAATCAGCCAACAGAGAAGTTTTCAAATAACACATAGAAGATAGTACATAATGAAACATCTGGGCTTTCACACATCAGGCACATGTCTGCATGGGATTGGAAAGGTAAAATCATCTATGCAGTGAGTGGAATGAAACCCAGGCATGAAAAGAATGGAATCCTAGCATATGTAGCAATATGCATGGAACTGGACTGCATAAACACATACATAAATATAAGTACCTGTGCTGTTCAGTCCTATGTGAAAGCTAACCCGTATTTTGGGGGATCAAGGGATAGCTCAGTGGGTAAAGTGCTTGATGCAGTGTGTTGGATCTCTAGTACCCATGTAAAAAGCCAAGAATGTCTGCAACCCCAATACTGGGGGCCAGGAGGCAAAGACAGGAGGGCCTCTGGAGCTCATGGGCCTAGTTGAGTTCCAAGGCGAGTGAGACCATGTCTCTAAAAACAAGGTGGGGGAATAACCGAGGACGATACTCAGTGCTGATCTCTGGCCTTCACATGAACATGCACACATGTGAACTTATACCCCCCTGTGGTGGTTTGAATGAAACTGGCCCCCAGAGGCTCACAGGGAGTGGCACTACTAGAAATTGTGGCTGTGCTGGAGTAGGTGTGGTTTTGATGGAGGAAGTATGTCACAAGGGGTGGGCTTTGAGGTTTCAGAACTCCAAGCCAGACCCAGAGGTTCACGCTCTCTTCCTGCTGTCTGCAGATCTGGATGTAGAGCTCTCAGATACCTCTCCAGCACCATGTCTGCCTGCATGCCGCCATGCATGACAATGGACTCACCTTCTGAACTGTAAGCCAGCCCCAGTTAAATACTTTTCTTTGTAAGAGTTGCCGTGGTCATGGTATCTCTTCACAGAAATAGAAATCTTAACTAAGACATCCATGCACACAAACACACATCTATTCTACACACATTTTTTAAAAGTTGTTTTCATAGTTAGAAGGCTTGAGGAAGTCAGGCGTGTTGTAATTTGAAATGGCTAGATGGAAGGCTTTGGCATGTGCCCAACATAAACAAGTGATAAATGTCTGAAGTGACAGTCTTGATTATTATATATGCATATATGTATTATTTATGTGTATACATACATATGTGTGTTTGTATACAGTATCATATCAAAATATGATACTGTACTCCACAGAGTACACAAATATCTTCACTTATAAATACATAAAACCATCATGTGTCAGAAAGTGACACTTTAACATAACAACAACAAAATGGCAGGGGTAGAGCTCGGCAGTACAATGCCTGCCCGTGTGTGCAAGACCCTGAATTTAAGTCCTCGAACTGCTAGACAGAAAAGAAAACATAAACAAAACCTTACAAGACAAA